CCTGTTTTTATGATAATTAAAGATGGATACATTGGCTTTCAACTCATGTTAGGAGATATGGTAAATCTTTTGAAACATACTGTGTAAGTTGTGTGCTTGAACACACCTGTTGGGCATTGTGTGTTAATAACAGTCTGTTGCCCAGGGGTTTTTTTTTCCCAGAAGTACATACTCTTCTGTATTTGTAGCCCAACATGACCTTTCTTTTGCAAGGTATCATCTCCATTTGGCCAAAAAGAAGTTGACACCTCAGTAGACCTAAATAGCAAACAGTAGAGAAAGCATTTTTTCTTGAATATCCAGAAAAAAAAGAAGGGAAATATTGACTATTTTGCAAGAACATATGATACCGTCATGCCATCCCATGACCCTATAGCATTATAGAGGCTTACATAATGAATGTGAGGATGAATGAAGCTCTAGTATACAGGATGTAGTGTAGCTTATTGTATATCTACTACTGTATTTGTAAAGGCAAACCCAGTGTATTCACTCCTTCCACAGTTGTCCAAGCCAGTACTCTAGTGGTATGTAATACAAAAATTTTTGCCAATAGCTACAAGTTTGCATTCATTCACATTTAATTACAAGTGCCCAGGTTTTCACTGGGGGCAGTATAGAAATTTTCTTTCTTATTCATTACTACAGGTACCAGTACTTATGATGACCTCCCTCATAGGAGTACTATTTTTTTTTTTACCTAAATTCTTTGAATCAAAACTAATATAATTTTACTTCCATAGGTTAGAATAGATTCATTCTGTTTGTACTATACAGTAGTGATTTTTTTTTGTTGTGTTTGATTACCTTTCATATTTACAGTACCATAAACTGGGGCGACTTAGGATAATTTTGAAGGGTTTTGTTAATAACTCCAGGTATAATAAGCCAAAGATATTTTTGTTTGATCAATGAATAGGGTATTGTATCCCCATTCCATGATAATGACAAAAAAATTAGTGCACAAACTCTCCATGAAAAAATGGCAAAGGGAGTAAAGTCACAAACTCAGGGTTGGAGTGACTTCGGACAACCATTGCTTTATATACTGTACACTTTTCGCATCTTTTAAAATAAAAGTTGCAACTTTAGTTATTACAGTACTGTACTGTGAATTTATTTTATTTATTTATTTATTGTTAAATACTTGTATGTACTGTACGTACTTATAATAAATAGGTTGGCAACTACATTTTTAATGACTTTAAATGAATTACAAAATGAAATATTAATATACTGTGTTGTGTACTGTACTACTGTATATGTATTACAGTACAAAGTTAGAAAAACAAAATAAACATGAACAATAGCTTACAAAGTTAGAAAAACAAAATAAACATGAACAATAGCTTATTGTATTTACTTTTTCTATTGTATTTTCTGCCTCTTCAAAAATTTCTTCAGAAGTCTTTGGGGAATAATTTCTTCCTTGAAAATGCTGATTTTTCATTCATGACAAATTCATGAAAAATTAAATATGAAGAAAACAAGATCGATAGCATTAATACTGTGTCCGAAGTCACCCGAAAAAAAGATTAAAATTAAAAATGTACTTCATTGACACTTAGTAGGAACTAATATTCATGAACAAATTTCGTAGTATGTGGTGATTCATACCGTAGTCATTTTCCCTGCTTTACAACCTCGTGCAATTAGTTTTTTCTTGGCACCCAAATATTTTTCTGACCAGAAGTTTTTGAGGTACTGTACCTTCAAAACAAAGTTTTTCCCCGTAGAATTTTATTTATTTTTTACTTTGCCAGAAAATTAGTAGTTATATCATATCCTTCTCATTGCAGTTTTCATCTTTCATATTGTTATTTTTGTATTTTTAATATCCATTATAGAATAGTATTTATGTTAAAAAAAATTTTTTAATTATACCGGAACATTGTCTGAAGTCATCCCAGTTTATGGCGTTTTTTTTTCTTTCTCAGTACTGTAATTACTTTCTAAGACTTATTGCTGATCTCTGTGAAGCTGTGGATGTAAGGCACCACACTGTTTTTCGTACACAGTTTCGTGAATATTAAATAGTTGGAATCATGGTACAGTACATATTGTACTGTACAGTGCAATATACCTAAGTTAATGTGCAGTCCAGTATTAATTTTCACCTTGAACCACAAATGAGGTTACAGTGAATTGGTGACTTCATTGTTGCAAATTCTTTGCTTATTAACCTTTCCCTACTACGTACCTAAGGTCAGGAAATCAGGGAAAAAATATTTTGACAGTCAGGGAATTTTGATATGGGTCAGGGAAATTAGATACTCTATTGTAAAAAAAAAGTCATGGAAAAATGAAATTTTATTAGTATTAATTTGATAACTGAAGAGAGGAAACAAAGATCAATAAGGTGATACACTATTGACTGAACAAAAAAACTCACAGGCAAGTTTCTTCTCGAGTTGAGTCTGCTTAATGGGAGGGAGGGTTTAAAAAGAGGCCTTGAGAGCACTTAGAGAAAAAATAAAAATTTTTTTATATAATACAGCATGTACAGTTGCCCACAAGGGTATTGTTCCACCCCTCTGTGGCCTTTCCGAATATGTAGCCAGCAATATATTTTTTCCGTAATATTTGTACTCAAGATTTGTGCTGAGCAATGAGATAGATTTAATATCTGTAAAGAAGATTCGACTATGATTCCTACGATGCCACATGTTGGGAAAAGCCCCCGAGGGATAGAACACGGTACCTGTACTATAACATTAACACAAGTGATTCAAGGTTCTATGGGTTGTTCACAAAAAGATGACAGGTTTATGAGGCCAAAATGGCTAGTTAGATTGAAAATAACTAGGAGTTGCTGTTAGAGTTATGGCAGTGTAAGAATAAGGTGCAGAGTTTGGGTCAAAATCAGCTTTAGTACACTGTTAGATGAGGCAGATAAGCTTGGTATATAAGCTGAAAACACACAAAAGTAGAGTCAGATAGTAAAAACCAGAAGCTACATTGTACTGTATAATATTTTTGTATCATTTTGTGTGGTTTGCTATACTGTTTAATATTATTGAAAAAATAATAATGGATGGAAAAAATGGCTGTATCGTTGGTAATCACAGATATTCTTATTTATTCAGTTGGGAAAATTTTAAGTTGGTTCAGGGAAAGGTCAGGAAAAACTGAGGGGTTTTGAAAAATTTAAACTTTATGGCAACATTGCATTATCCAGATAGAATAAAAAAAAATATATTTTTATATGTACCCATCTTAAAATGAGCATACATACTATGCAGTATAGTGCAGGCTGTATTTATTGTGTCATCACTACTACATGTACAGTACTATATACAATAATCAGTCTCCATCCCCCTGTCCATGTTAACGCCTTTTGTTTTTGGCCCTTCTGTACTGTTTCCTGCAGGGTCACTGATGTTGGTATTAAGGTCATTGCGACCCACATTTGATGCTTCATTGTTCAAAGGAAAATAATATATAGCCCATATCTACCACTTAATTCGTACACAATTACCACAACTGGTTTAGGGTGCATCTTAGAGATTCATATAAAATCACTCTTGGTGTCACTGTGACTTCAGTTTCCAGCTTCAGAGAGCCTCTAAAAAATATCCTTTCCAGCTCAGATCTTCTACATTGTGTCATGTATGGATAGAGATTATTAAAGTATTCTACAATTTGCAGGGAATTTTATATTACATTATATACAGGTTACAGGTATATTGTTTACTGTACATGTATATGTACACACAGTAAAAAAGTACCGCACGGATTATGTGTGTGAAACAATATGACACCACGGATGAGGGATAGTGAAATACTGTATGTATGTTGGTCCTGTATTATGGTGGTAGTCCTGCTTTCCTTGCCTGAGGTTGTCCTCGCATATCTATTGCTACCATAGGTAGGTGGAAACCTTTGCCAGACAGGCACGCATACTAACCCTCCTGGCACATCAGGTGATGTATGGATCATTACGGAAGTCAGCAGACCCCTCCTGCACGATACCTTTTTTACTGCGTGTATGGCACTATACTTTATTTAACAGCGTTATTACAAAAACAGATTCTCGTTGATAGATTTATATACATTACTGTATATAGGGGTATATATTTACCATGTGAATATGTGATCTACCCAGTAGTTGAAACTGTTTTTCTCATTAGAATTTGATGTTTTATCTCACACATGATGTGAAAAGAAAATTGAGTGCATCAACAAGAATTTGTGTTAATATATGGCACTTGTTTAAGGATGACCTTTCTTATGATTCACATTTCATGTTAACAGCTCTCCTTTAAATCACCATTGATGCTGTTTTGGAGGGATTAAAAGCTGTTTTAGAAGGAGAATGTACAGTTGCGGAAATGTGTTTCTACGCCCCCTGTGGTAACCTGTGTCTCCAAACGGCCAACCTACGGTATATGACCTATAGCAAACCTTTCCATCAATCACTTCCATCGTTACACGACCAGTACCCATTCATTCATAAATAGTGATACTGCTACTGTGACGGTGCATTTGGAGACACAGTATACCACAGGGGGTGTAGGAACACATTTCCGCAACTGTACCATGTCTGGATAATAAAAGGAGAGGACTCTTGCCACTCCATTTACTTTGAGATGATGCAAGATGTTATAAGTTAAAGTGTCAGTGGGTAAGGTAATGGGTCAGTAATACTGTACGGTACACCCATTTGGGTACTATACAATGTATGTGTCTGATTATGGTGGTAGTTAAGCTATTATACTGCAGTAACTTTGTATTGATCTCTTCACAAATAGTGGCCAGGGACATTGTGTGTTTGTAGTGTTTATGTGTCTGTCTGTCTAGATGGTCATTTGTCTGCGTACAGCATCTGAATTAGAATACTGTACTAATTGTGTGAAAGTGACCTTGTGTTGCATTTTGTGATAATGGGTCTGGACTAATAATGTGAATTATTTAGTTCACTCTGTTTGATATACTGTGCTGTTACTGATACGCTATTTAACCAGTAAGATGGATATATATATTTTTACTTTCCTTTTCAGTGCCAAATGGGCCCAAAGATCAGGTAACTTGAAAGTCATAGTTTGAAGTTCCTCCTCATCTTGGTGTTGGTAATGTACACAGTGCTTTATGGTTTATTTCTTCTGGGATGTTAATGAATTTTAACCTTTTATTACTGTATTGTAGTGAATAGTTCAAATTTAATCCACACTGATGAATAATATTTTCTCCATTGAGCTTTTAAAGTTTACCTTTAAATATTCTCCACCAGTAAAGTGATATTTATTTATTACTTTTTAAGGCTTCAGTATCCTAATTTTTCTACCTGTAGTTGTGTGTAACCAACACATTTACTGAACTGATAGACAGTCTAACTTTGGCGCAGAATTACTCGTCATTCCAGAGCTACACAAGTCCCATGACTTCATCGATGGCCGCGGCTGCAGCTGCTTCTGACCCGTATATGTCGTCTTACTATATGACCTCTACCCCATATCAGGTTGGTTTTAATTTGTCTTGTTTATGTATATTTCTCCCCTTTTTATGGATCATGTATTTTGTTGTACTTAATATTTTACTTCAAATGCAGTTTATTCAGTCTATGTGAATGGACTTCACAGTGACTTTTGTCTTATCCCATGCCACTCTATAAAGAAAAAATGGACCGCTTTTCCTTATATTTTAAGTTTAAGTGACATACAGTATCTAGCTCACTTGCTTAAAGTGCAGAAAGTGCTTATGTTATGTCCTTAGTGTTGTAATTTGTGTCACTGTCATTAGCGCTAACAGATGTTGACCTTTTAGTTATATATCAGTAATGAAGCAGAGTACTGTACGGTACAGGACCATCACTAAACTTTACACTTGATCATATTCTTGAAAAATGGGTTTTTGTGACCTATTTATGGGGAAAATAGATTGCAGTAATTAGCTTTTTTATATTCAACTCTGGTTTTACATTACAGCATTACAACATGCTACAATAACCAGACTTTATGTGCATTATCATACAATAACACCAAGTTCCAATTTGATGGTTAGTTTTATGTGGCTTAAATCATTTCCACATAATAAAGAATAACAGCACTTGCTTAGTTTTCAAATGAAAACTAAAAGGATGTTCCTCCCACCAATAGTGAACATTTATAAGCTCTGTTCAGTAAACATTTAGCATCAACCATGTGGGCTTGGTGTGTCACGTCACAGACAGGATATATTTATCTGCCCATTCTGTATGGATAATTGGGAATTAATGGGGTTTTAGCATCAAGCTGGTGGGGATCTTGTTGTACTGCTAAATCTGGCTCACACATGATATGAATCATACATTGCCTCCCCCTTAGGGATTCAAGCCCAGGACCACTTGAGTTAGTGAGCCTCTCAAACACTGGAGTTTGGGGAGAGTAGTGTCCCCACTGACAATTCTTTGCTCTTGCCACTTTGGTAATGCAGCCCACTGTGTAGTTAACATGCACAATACAGTATTCTCAAGTTTATGTTTCTATTATTAATGGCGAATTTCTATTTATTCATCTTCATTGTTATTCCCACACAAAAGTCTGCGGTAGAGATATAGAAATGGATTCTATCTATATACAGTACCCTATATACCTGGTTTTTCACCTGACTAGGCTCACATAAGTCTGTTCTCTGGAGCATAATTCAAAATGTAATTCAGACATATTAATTAAAGTTTATTCACATTAAAATCAGTGGTAAAGAACTGCTTACAGCTAAAAAGGATAGTACGTACTGTAATTGTAATATTATTTCTTTAATGGAGAATACAGTTAACTGTTTTCTTGTGTCTTTGTATTACTACCTTTGTCCAGTACACCATCTCAACCTTTGTCTCTATCTGTTATCCTATCTTCCTTCCTGTTAGGTAGAACAATAGAAACAGAAATCTCCAAAAAAGGGGATGATATGGTAAGGAAGAACAGTGCAAGAAAACTGAAGATAGCAATGGAAAAAGAGCTGAAATGTCAAAAGACTCCTTCCACACATAATTCGTACAGTACTGTACTGTACATACTTTTGTTTTCCTTTTGTTGAAAGATTATATCTATTGAGGCATTTATCATTGTTTTACACATTATCACATCTTAGTGTAAGAAAATTTTGACAGCTTCACATTATTGATTGATTATTTTTTCAGTGCATGTATTTGATTATTCATGCTAACAAGGTCATGTGAGCAAAGTAGTCAGTGTATCTTTCTAACAAATTGTTTCCATTCATATGTTGAATTCTGTATATAATCAGTGTGGCAGCCCTAGAGCTGATGTGTTAGGATCTAAAGGTGAAAGGTTAAGATCACAGCTATGAATAAAAGTAACACCTAGCATAAATTTGCACTTAAGTGCTATCCACTTAATATATTAGTGTTAAACCTTGATTTTGAAGGTATGAGGATGTAAGTAAAAAAATAGGAAGATAAATTTAAATGTCTTTCTTAACCCATTATGCTTATTTACTGTCAGTATATAATACTGTAAATGAATTGTTTCCTCAGGCATTCGGAGTTGGTGATGGAACTTGGAGCAATGGGGGTGACCACATGCAAACTTTCCTTGGAGGCTATGGGGGACAGATGGGATACGATTCACACAGTGCCATTGAAGGCATGTTCGGTAGTGGCAGTTTCGGTGGATTCAACCCTCCAGGCTTTAACTACGGTTTCCACGGAAATGGTGACTACAGTGCATGGGGAGGCTCAGATGTTCGGGGAGGAAACAAGCCATATGATGACTATTACCAACGAGATAATTTGTACACTGATGATCGTGTAAAGGCCCTGGATCAGGGCGTACAAGGACTTACTATCGCTGATCCTAAAACTGGTCAAGACTTACCCAGAGATGGTGGATCAGGAATTGGTAAAAATGCATCAACAAATGGAAACAGTGGAGTTGAGGTTAAGCCAAATGGAGGCAGCAGCCCAGGGGGTGACACATCTGTTGGTCTGGGTCAAACTAAAAAAGGCATATCATGGGCAAGTATTGCTTCACAGCCAGCTAAACCACAGCCAAAGGGGAGACGTGATAAAACCACTATGTCCTCAATTGTCCCTGGTCGCCATATGGACATTGGGACATGGGAAGGTAAAAATGGTGGTGGACCAAAGCCTGTGGCTCCTCCCCCAGTACCACGACCAGCTTGGGAGGCTCCAAGGGGTGGGTCACGCTCCACTACCTCCACCTCGTACTCTACGCCACCACCGCGTACCCCACCCCAGGTGCCTCCTCCACAGCCAGTGCAGCCAACAGGACAACCACAGCAGACTGGACAGCAACAAGAGCAGCCACCATTGCAACCTCTACAAACATCTCCCCAGCAGCATCAACAGAATCCTCACCAACAGCATGTTCATCAACAGCACTTGCATCAGCAGCATCAGCACCAACACCAGCACCAACACCAACAACAGCAGCAACACCAGCACCAGCACCATCAACATCAACAACTCCAGCAGCAGCTGCCACCATCACCCCAACAGCAACAGCAGGCTCCTCCACCACCCTTGCTCCCAAGTGGGGTCATGCATGCACCAATGGAACTGCCCCCATCCCCCCAGAGTGGACCTCCTATGTCAATACCTCAGCGTGCCCCTCTGCCTCATGTCCCTGGACAGATTCCCGCAGAACTGCAGCCAGATGATCCAATCCTTGAAGGACTTCGTATGCGTAATGATTACAACCCAAAGGACTTTGACCTTAGTCCTAAAAATGCACGTTTCTTTGTGATTAAATCTTATTCAGAGGATGATATTCACCGTTCTATCAAGTATGAGATATGGTGCTCCACAGAACATGGTAACAAGCGTCTAGACGCTGCTTTTCGTGAAAGAGAAGGCAAAGGGCCTGTATACCTTTTCTTCTCTGTGAATGGATCTGGGCACTTTTGTGGTTTGGCTCAAATGATTTCCATGGTGGACTACAATTCATCTTCTTCTGTGTGGGCTCAGGATAAGTGGAAAGGGCAGTTTCGAGTGAAGTGGATTTATGTCAAGGATGTTCCCAACAACCAACTACGCCATATTAGGTTGGAGAACAACGAGAACAAACCTGTGACCAATTCCCGGGACACCCAGGAAGTTCCTTATGAGAAGGGCAAACAGGTCAGTAGTGAAGATTTTGTTTTCAAATTGGTGTTCTATTAATTACATACAGTAGTGTCTAATGTCTGGAAACTGTACTGAAAATTGTGTAAAAATTGTGTGTGGTTAGCCTACCTGTAAAGGTCATTGAGTAACAAGTTAGTTTCTTTGGGTAGTTTTTACTATGATTAAAGTTTAAATTTTTTTTTTATCCTTTCTTGCCTTTTCCTACCCAATGCAGGGTGCCCAAAAACAAGAGCAAATTTAAACATATTATTTTTCCTCATTCATTATGATTCATTCATTCTTAATGCATTAAAATATGTGATTTGCTGTGGTAATCCCATCTGCAACAAAGCTTCAATTCTGGTTTACCTCTGTTCCTCCACTCAAGTCGACATCACCCATCAGTACCACATTCCTCCCCTTAAACCACTCTATAACATTCTGCTTCCTGAATTTCCATCACCCTCACTTTTAGTGCATTATTTATCTTACCATCCTACATTTCCATCTCCTTGGTCTTTCTTTCTACCTTTTAACTCCAATATATATTTTATACACATTTTGATAATTTTTTCCCCATTATCTTAATATGTACATATCATCTGAGCCTCACATTTTTGTGTGTGTGGTTATCATTTTAATATATGTGTACAGTAATTCCTCACTTAACGTCGTTGGTTCCGTTCCTGAAAACCGCGACATTAACGGAAACAATGTTAACGGAATAAATTTTTCCCATAAGAAATAGATAAAATACGGGAATTATGTTCCCCAGCCTCCCTTTGCTCCATAAAATGCATTACATATACATAAATTCAATGGAATTTTTATAGAAAATAGTATATATTATACATCCAAAAAGATAATTGAACTAAATCATTTTGTATTGTGCTCCGTGATGGCAGATAGTACTTACTGTTGTGGGGGGTTCGACCTAGCGCAACACCGCACGTTCACCTTTCTCAAAATGGTTTAAAACCTCCATTTTCGTAGCAAGGCAAATGGTCTTATGTTGCTTCTTCACAACACTAACATCACATAGCACTTGATGGGCACTGTGGAAGCCTAACAAAGACTGGGGACGCTGTTACACTCCGCGAGAGAGCGTAGTGCGCCAAGATGAGGGAGGGTGATGTGCCATACAAAGTAGTCCGTCACGAAATTATACCGAATCGGCGGGACGTTTTCCGAATCATGGTATCTAAAGAGTAGCGACGTTATAACGAAACAGCGTTGTCGGGGCAACGTTAGACTAGGACTTAATATACAGTATGTTTGGGACCAAATCTGTCTACCAGTGTTGGTATGTGTCTGTACAATACAATATTTGGTATATGGACTATCGATTTTTTTTTGGTATGTACCTATGTTTTTTATTATGTTCATATATATATACATACAGTACATATGAAGGTCATTCAATAAGTAACGAGACAAAATTAATATAACTGCATCTTTCTACGAGTTTTTTTTTTCCTGTGGCGAAAATGTCTTTCACTGACTCCGTAACCAATTTTTTATTTCTTTCATCACCTCTTAATTATTTGAAAAATGCTTTCCACGTAAAGCTGTTTTGAAAGGACCAAACATGTTGTAGTCTGTTGGTGCGTGATCTGGACTGTATACGGGGTGCGGCAAAACCTCCCAGCCCAGATTTCTAATCATTTCCTGTGCATGCTGTGTACTGTGGGTGTTTATACTTTGACAGGTCGTCCGGCACGATCTTCATCCACAATGCTTGTTCGACCATTCTTGAATTGTTCAACCCACTTGTAAATGTTCCCTCTACTGATGCAATTGCTTCATATTGAAGTGACATTCTGTGATGAATTTCGCAAATGAATTTAAAAAATGAATAACAGAGCGTTGTTCTTCCAAGGTGCAAAATCAAATGGAGCGTTCATCGTTAATGCAACACTTACTCGAGCCTAATCGAATGAACTGACTAAACAAAAAGATGAAGATGTAGTTTATGCATGTCTAAACATGTCATAACATGACTGCTGCGCTTGCCTCTCCCCTTTACCGTCACATCAAAAAGTTTCTTTACCTATTAAATGACCTCTCGTATTTTACATAAAATGTATGTCTATACAGTACTGTACATGTGAGTATCATCATCATTATCATCTTCATCAATATTTATGGTAGTCTTTCGTGTCTCTGTGGGTTACTTGTGATTCCCTGATGGCAGCTTTCCATGCTGTGCAGACTAATGGTCTCTTTTGCCAGGTTCTTAACTCTAATGTCATATCATACAACCTCTTTCTATGTGGTTTTTCAACATAAATAATACCTGCACAATATAAATAATAAAATAAGTTTTTATACATATCACTGAACTTTTAATCTGTTAGCAAGGTCTACTAGGGAGAGGAAGACAGGCTGGCTGGCTGGACCTGTTACAACCTGTCCACACTCGGGCATGGCTGCCACACCAATATTTATTACTCTATAAATATTTATATAAAATGAATGTCTCAATATATAAAATTCAAAATTAGGGAGGCTGAAATTGATCCAAGCTTATAGTTTTTTATCAGTACTGTATCAGCTCTCAATTATTAGTAATTCTTAAGATTTTGTTGCCGAACTGTAAGATACAAATAACATCAACAAGTTTTAAATAAATTTGCTCTCCCAAACTGATTAGACATTAGTAAGAATGTAAGACTGTATCAATATATTATATTGACAAAAGAAAAAATATATATGCCTTTTGTCAGACGGCTCAAGCAGTAAGTCTAATGAGGTTGACATTAAAAAAACGGGTAAGATTAGAGTAATTCAAGGAAGAAGATTTGTTGCAAGTATCATGCATGATACTTCAAAGAAAATGAGTTGAAGGTACAGTACATACAGTAAGTCTTTTGTGAGTTGAAGGTAGCTACAGATAGGTACAGTACAGTAGCTTATTGTGAGTTGAAGGTAAACACTGTAAGTTTTTGTGAGTTGAAAGTAGATATTGTGAGTTGAAAGTAGATATAGTAAGTTTATTGTGAGTTGAAGGTAAACACTGTAAGTTTTTGTGAGTTGAAAGTAGATATAGTAAGTTTATTGTGAGTTGAAAGTAGATATAGTAAGTTTATTGTGAGTTAAAAGTAGATATAGTAAGTTTATTGTGAGTTGAAAGTAGATATAGTAAGTTTATTGTGAGTTGAAGGTAGATATAATAAGTTTATTGTACATTGAAAGTAGATACTGTAAGTTTATTGTGAGTTGAAAGTAGATATAGTAAGTTTATTGTGAGTTGAAAGTAGATATAGTAAGTTTATTGTGAGTTGAGGTAGATATAATAAGTTTATTGTACATTGAAAGTAGATACTGTAAGTTTATTATTGAGTTGAAAGTAGATATAGTAAGTTTATTGTGAGTTGAAGGTAGATATAGTAAGTTTATTGTGAGTTGAAAGTAGATATAGTAAGTTTATTGTGAGTTGAAAGTAGATATAGTAAGTTTATTGTGAGTTGAAAGTAGATATAGTAAGTTTATTGTGAGTTGAAAGTAGATTTAGTAAGTTTATTGTGAGTTGAAAGTAGATATAGTAAGTTTATTGTGAGTTGAAAGTAGATATAGTAAGTTTATTGTGAGTTGAAAGTAGATATAGTAAGTTTATTGTGAGTTGAAAGTAGATATAGTAAGTTTATTGTGAGTTGAAAGTAGATATAGTAAGTTTATTGTGAGTTGAAAGTAGATATAGTAAGTTTATTGTGAGTTGAAAGTAGATATAGTAAGTTTATTGTGAGTTGAAAGTAGATATAGTAAGTTTATTGTGAGTTGAAAGTAGATATACAGTCATGCGCCGGTTAACGTCCTAGATACGTTCTTGGAAACGTGATGTTAACCGAAATGGACGTCCGAAATTACATAAACCTATCGGATTTATTCTAATGGGGGTTCCAGGCACCCAACCCCAAGTTTCCCATTTTACAACCATTTAGACAGACTAAATATATATATATATATATATATATATATATATATATATATATATATATATATATATATATATATATATATATATATATATATATATATATATATATATATATATATATATATATATATATTATATATAATGTTATGGCAAATATCATAAACACACATAGGCATGGCTAGGTTTATTACAAAGTGATGAAAAGGATAATGTAAAGTGGGTAGTCCACAAAACATGTAGCCATGTCTCTCTTTATTTGAGTTCAAAGAAGTCGGTTTTCTCTCACTTCAGGACGCCTGAGTCGTCCGTTTTCTCTTAATCTTAGAGTGCAGTACACCAGACACTTATTTATTCCTTAGTAATGACACAGAATTTGATATTGCAACTGGGGTTGCAATTGTTGAGGCAACTTAGATATGTCTGATTACAGTTGGAATATTCAAGATCCATTGTGAGTGATGTTTAAAGCTTCAACTGTCTTTATGGTTGGTAAAACTTGTCAAGTCTGTCAGTCTGAGTGGCATGTGTGAGGCCTTGTGTTTGTACAACCGCTAAATATATAAATATATAATGTTATGGTAATTATCAGAAACACACACAGGCATGACTAGGTTTATTACAAAGTGATGACACAGAATTTTAAATTGCAACCCCAATTGCAACTGGAGTTGCAATTGTTGAGGCAACTAGATATGTCTGATTACAGCAAATGTGTTATTGTCAATTTGTGGGTGAAAGATTTTATCCTCAATAGATGTAGATTAACATTACACCTGCAGGCAAATGTTTCAAAAAAGCCTAATCAAGGAAGCATATTCCTTTAACACATAATGTCTGACCAGTATGGGGAGGATCATCGTGTCTCCGTCAGGGGGTCGTGGAGTGGTGGTCCAGCAGGCGTCACAGATTTTTTTGAAGTGTCCACGGACGTATATGCGATTTGACGTTGTTCGGTCGGACGTTAACCGGCGCATGACTGTAGTAAGTTTATTGGGAGTTGAAAGTAGATATAGTAAGTTTATTGTGCGTTGAGGATAAATAAAGTGGTTTATTTTGAGTTGAAGAGTAGAGTGGGTTCCTTGTGAGATAGCACTGTTTCACTACACGTAGTAGTGAAACTTCCATAACTTTGAAAACAAAAAATAGGATCACTACCCTAGCTAAAATAAGCAAATAATGAATCAAGATACAGGTATACTGTATAGTACTGTATTTGTATTCGGTGCTGCTGCTGAAGTTATCACATGGTTTACTGTAGTTGTATTTTTATCAACTGTGTTTTGTATACATTTTAATGCATAACAACAATGATTTAGTTCACTTAATTAGATAGGTTAGATGGGACTACCAATTATTTATTTATTTAGAACAAGGTAATAATTTGCCTTCCTTTCACTCCTTAATTATGTAATTTAGTGTACTGTATGCTTTTGGGAGGGTTTGTAAAGGGAAAAATCTTCATGATCATTATGGACTAGGCATACAGTATCAGCAGGTGAAACTATTATAATATGTAATTATACAGTAATGAGGTCTGGATAATGATTTGGAATTATCAGAGGAAGTGGCTACCAATGCAGGTCCATTACTCTGTGTATTTTGTGAGTGAACTGGAAGTTTGTAGTCTATGTGAACAAAAAGCAGTCATCTCGCTTGTGGGGCGATGTGGCTTTATTATGCATGTTCAGTGAGCCTCAGCGTGAGATACAGAATGCACACCTAATTTAAACAAATCTATAATGTCATTAAGATTATCTATGTCTATTTGGTTCCTGTCTGCTTTAGTAAATGGTTATTTAGTACACACTGTGCATACCCTACTACTTATCTAAAGTAAAGTGAAAGCTGGAACTGGGTTGGTAGTCACAGCTATGAGTACTGTACTGAATGAATTTAAATGTCTCGGGAAATGTTGAATAAACCAGTTACAAATTCGTTCATTTATCTAGTAGTTTTATTTAAAATAGGTAAATATAATTTTTCATGAGATTAGGATTAAGAATTTTCCTTGTTAGAAAATCTGATCCTTTGTCTGAGTTTTCAAGTTAACAGGTAAGTTAAATTGTAAGTCTTAAACCGAAAGACTGAAATGTTTCTATTTTTTGGGATGCAGGATATTGGTTTTTATTAAGTGCTATACATAGCTCAGTTGGTAGAGCATTTGTCTAGTAAGTGAATAGTCATAAGTTTGATTTATAAATAAGTGGAAGATTGTTCTTCCTCACCACAAATAGATTTGTCAGTGTATATCTGAAGTCAAGAGGATGTTCAGCATGTGATAACATTTTCAAAGCTTTTCAATGTTCTGGATGACCTTGGCCACCACACTTGTAGTTCAGTGGTGATTTTTAGCCGTGTTTGTAATACAGTACAAGGAAGACTAAGAATATGGGCCTTGCCTTTCGTTTACCCAAACACACACAGGAAGAGAGAAGACTAAGGCTGTTCCTTCTCTTCACTTCATAGTATTGTTGTTTAAACTGTCCTCAAAGTTTCGTATTTGGAGTGGATAACAAATTTGTGTCCTTGTTAGGGGGCATATGTATGTGGTACTTACAATTGTTGGACAGCCATGTGACTAATACAGCAACTCGACACTTTCCAGGCTGTGGTGGTGGATCAGTCCTTTTTTATAAAATAAGTTTTCTGAATCAAATGTGTATCATGATTTTTCATCCATTAATTTGTAGCTTAATTGTTCTACGCCTCACATGAGAAGAACTTGGCTAGTAATAGTTAGAATAACATTCAGTACTCATTTGCCAAGTTGCCATCTAGTTAAAAAATAAATAAAAAGCATTCCCTCAAAATACCTTTAAAATATGCCATTTACATTTATATCATAAGATATTGAATGGGTTCGGCATCAGAAGGATGGGAGAGGCCGCTTTTAACCAACGTGTCTTTCCCCCTTCTAAACATCTCCACTTCCTCATATAGTACGTGCTGAATAAAACAACTGTGTGATGGGTATTGTACTGTACTACATCTGAAAACCCAGGAAAGTCCCTGCTGTCTGTTTTAGAGGTGTTCTTTGACTAATGATGTACTTTCAGAAGTTTGCTTTAAATGAAAAGCAACATGTTGAAGATGAAGTGATTCATTCTCAATACAGTATTTCTACTGAAGGTTCATCTTTCTTTATAATGACTGTAATGTTATTTATATGATATGTGTAACACAGAGTAATAAGACATAGTGGTATTTTACCAGGTGCTGAAGATAATCAACCAGTACCGCCATTCTACTTCCATATTTGATGATTTTTCTCACTATGAGAAACGTCAGGAAGAGACTGAAACTCGTAGGAATCCAGGAGCCCCGTACAAGGTATGTGAGGTCCAGCAACGTTTGAAGAACAACATCCTGACATAGTATTCTTAAGAGTGGATGAAAATAGCCTAGGTCTTTCCTGAAAACAATTATCCAATTTAGTCAACTAGCTACTTTACTAGGAAAATTTATTTTTTCTGATGAATGCATATATTGTACTGTACTGTTTGTTGTGTGGAGATTATAGATGTGGGTATCCATAATACTCAAGATGAGATATGAGTTATTTTTTAATATCAGGTACTGTAGTTGGTATTCTTAAAGGTAGATCATCTTTGATGACAGTAGTTGTCAGTTCATTTTTATGCACTGAGTTGTGATTCATTATTGACTTCAATCCATACATGTGTATGATAGTATGTTTATCAAATATAGACACTTTGAATCTTTTAAAATTTTAGATTAAGTCTAATATTCTTAAAAAAGTAATTTAAATTTGATGTCACATATCTGTTTTCAGTCAGTTTGTTATTAAACTTATGGCCTCTTACTGAATTTGAGAAATTAAGGTGAGAATTGTTTCATGAAACTAAATATTTATCAAGAGTTGATTAAGGTTTATAATGAAATTGGTATTGTTATTTTATTTAAAAAACACTTAAGAGTTTAAAGATTATCTTGTTATTTTTCAATTTAGTCATGAAACTTGGTAAGTGGGTTCAACTGTATGGTCACCAGGGCACACGTGTCTTGTGATTTATGCCACTTACTTTTGTCTGTAGTTCCAAGTAAATTCTCTTACAAAATACAAATGCAAGACCGTATCCAGATTATATTTTGAAGATGTGTTCATCGCGTTTTACTGTTGTTGTTGTTGTTTTTTGTTTTTTATCCAGCCTTGAAAATAATAGCCACAGTTGAATTTGATAATAATGACCTCTACCTGTCTGTCCAATTGAATTTGTTAATATCAGATTTCTGATTTAACCCCTTGTGTTTGGGGTCCCCTCTGAGCTGTGTAAAATCATCTGGTGTTTCTAAATGAAATTACAAAAGTGGTATCCCCATAGTGAAAGGATTAGTATCCCCTCTAAAGTGAATAAAATTGTCTTGGGTTAGCCAGATAAAATAATAAATTAAAAGTGACATCCCCATAGTGAAGGGCTTAAGTTTACTTTGATAAGACCTTAAAAATTTTTACTATAATATCTTGAGAAAATACAGTACTTGCTGCAGGGCATTTGGTAGCATAAAATTTTGGAATGTGTGGAACCCCAGGGTTAGGATTTCCTGTATCCCATTCACTTTTCAGGGATCCCAGGAGTCCAGCCTTTAAAAGTTAGGGTCTGTCATACTTTGACTTTAATCCTCTTAGAGGAAGTTTTTACTGGTTACCCCACTGCAGGTCTTTTTTTTTCTTGAAATTAAAAAAAAAAATTAAATTCAGTCTCTGTAAGTACTTGACTTACGCCCACATTTCATTGATTAAAGGATTTTGGAAGTTATGTTTGAGGTTTGTGATGTGACATCTCAGTGTCTGGCATAACTTAGATGAAGCTGTTCCTTTATTTATGAAAGGGATACATTCCTAATAAAACTTTTCCGATACTGAAATTTTGTAGACCAGAAAGGATTTTCCCTCTTATTGAAAGGGAAACATAAGGAATCCATTCTGGGGAGACTTATCAACACTTTTTGTAACCAAAACTATCTACACAAGGGGCCTCCAAATTCGTGGGGATTTGGTTCTCAAAATGGCCGTGAATCGCCAAATCCGCGATTAACATTTGCTGTTGGGGTGAAGGTGTTACATTTTTACTTGTGTACAAAGAAATGTATATTCCCTTTATGTGTTTGCTCTTAGGACAATTATTTCTATTACCTGTAGTATTGTACTGTATATGTGTGTGTGTGTGTACAGTATAGACACACACACACACACACACAAACACACACACACACACACACAAAACACATGCAAATAAATAATACAGTAAGTCCTCGTATAACATCCCGACTACTCAATTTAATGTCGTTTTTGCGTCGTTACGGACTACTTTTTACGACGCGTCATCCTCTCTCAGCGACTCACCACCCTTCTCCGCTCCTGCCCTATTCCTCCTCCCCTCCCGCCATCCGCCTCCTCCTCCGCATCACTACCCACCACACACTTGATCCTCCACCTCTGCCCGTCAGTGAGTGCCAATAGTACAAACTTATTAGTTTTATTTACAGTGGTCCCTCGGTTAACGAACGCTTCGGTTAACGAATTACCTTCCATAAGAATCTTCAATTCGGTTAATGAACAAAAATTCGATTTGCAAAATCCTTACGAAAATCATGTTTAGTTTTGAACATCAGCTGAGGGGGTACTCAGCCAATTCAGTAATCTGTTCTATGTTTATATTTGTTTCCAATGGAGTACAGGGAACTAGTTAGTTGTGCACCCATCAGATGCGTGGGTTGGCCACCAGGCGTCAGTCTGGCTTTGTTTACAATCGAGAGAGCAACTATTTTGTTGGTGTCTTGAATATTTATTCATTTTTCATTTAAATTATTGGTCATTCTGAACTTTAGTTAACATATTGATAATATATAGTGCAGTGCAGTGTTGATTTAAAGAAAATAATCTTGAATTACGCATAGTGAACTTAAAATTTTATTGGTGAAATGACTGCATCAAGCATGGGTCCCCGGAAAGGTGATTTCTCCTCCATCCCCACTTCCTTCTCTTCTCCCTTCTCCACCCCCACTTCTAATTCCCATCATCATCATCAACCAGGATCCTTCTACATACACACCTCAAAGTAAGTGTACTTTACTGCATTTTTTTTTTTTTTTAAATATAGTTTGTATGTACTTTTTGGTGAGCTGGAACCAATTACCCAATATCCCATTGAAACAATGGATTCGGTTAACGAAATTTTCGGTTAATGAATGACCCTCTGGAACGAATTGTGTTCGTTAACCGAGGGACCACTGTATATCTATACTGGATGCTATTTTCTATAAAAATGCCATTGATTTTCTGTATATGTAATGTATTTCATGGGGCAAAGGAAGGCTCAGGAATGTAACTCCCATATTTTATCTATTTCTTATTGGGGAAAATTGATCCACTTAACGTTGTTTCGCATAATGTCGTGTTTTCAGGAACGTAACCTCAACGTTAAGCGAGGACTTAATGTAATTGGAAAATCCTCTCACAAATAATTATAAACAAATTTATTAAAATGTGAGTCTACCCTCAAGCACGGACTTGAGGTTAGACTCACATTTTTAATAAATGTTTTTTCTGGTTATTTGTGAGAGTATTTTTCCATTATTATTTATTTGTATGTGTTTTGTGTCTGTGTGTGTGTGTGTGTGTGTCTACACACACATATATACAGTATATACGTACAATGCAGGTAAAAGAAATAATTGTCCTAAGGACAGACACATAAAGAGAATATACATTTCGTTATACTGTACACAAGTAAAAATCCCCCCCTCCCCCGTGCGCAAAATTTATTCATGGATTTGGCGTTTCACGGCCATTTTGAGAACCTAACCCCGCAAATTTGGGGGGGCCCCCCTGTACTTTTCCCATAGACTCCCATTACAAGACTAAATTTATATGAAAAAATCCAAAAACATCTTTAAGTGCCAGAAAATGCCATAGAACATGTTTTTAATGACTATTTTTGTTGTGCACTATGATTACAAGACAATAATAAGCATATTACAATAAGTTAAATTAATGCAGGGGAGTACAATACAGCAATAATTACAGTATGAGCATATTACTTTACTGTACTTAAAGAAAAACTGGACAAGATTTGAAACAAGGTGCACAGTATGAAATGTTAAGCCAACATCTATAATATTTATATTGCTGTGGTAATACATGACGCCTATTATATAATTGGAGAAACGTTTTTTATGGAAAAAAGTATGCTGTACCCCTGATGAGTTATTGCGTCATGCTAAATTCCTCCTTTATTTACACGGCATGAATGCTGCTGTCACATACACTTTGAGCCAGTGATGTTTTATGTCTTTTCCATGCTTGGGTAAACCATAATGAGCTGATGGCAGTATAGCCTTCTGCATTCTCTCTTATGAGTTTCATGTCTCTGAGGTAATTTTTCACAACCTCTGTCAGGTACAATAATCATTTATTTTTACATTTGTGTGGACTGGGAGTAACAAGTAACCCTTGGGAAAGGAGGCAAGGGTTGTATCTGCCTCGGTACTATTTCTCACATTTGATGGTTTAAATTATTTGCAATTTTTTGGGTCATTGCTACCTTGACCTTTGACCTATCAAGGTCATATTTTTTGTGTTACACCTAAGGGGTCTCCACAATTAATTCCTAAAGCAGGTTTGACTTCTGACACATATATACATGTTTTTTGATAATGTGTCATTTTTTTTTAAGTTCATCATCTTTGATGTTATTTTCTGGAGAAAGGTGTTGTTATACATTATAGAAAAATGTCATTGTCAATTTTAATGTAACTTTCATCAAGGAATCTACTGCAACAAGTAGTAATTTTCTCTGCAGCTTCAATCCAGAGTTATTGCCCCCCAAAATGAGAATTCTTAATTTTGATGACCATCATCTTGACCTGAACCTCACAAAATAATTCAATGCTTACTGTATACCCAACTTAGTTCATCTATGATGCTAGGTCAGATTTTGTATAGATATGGGTGAGATGTGCTTCATTATATTATTAATAATGGTGCATAAACACTGACTAACACAGACAGGGTTATTCCAATACCTCACAAATCCCTTTGGGGCTGAAGTAACAAAATTTATAAACAATTGACAATGCTTTTGTGAATTATCAGTTTTTGTTATACATTGTTATATTGCTTGATAATTCTCTCTTTGTTGTTGGCTGCTTCATCATTTCTATATGTTGAGTGTTAGTGAATTTGTCCTTCTCAAAACAGAACTGACAACTCTGAAATATAAACCACCAGCTTTTATTATTAATCAACTTTATTGTTTATTTGCCAAAGTTTATAGCTACTGTTTTACTTGCAGGGACAAACATCACCTTTATTGTTTGTGTTAGAAGGGGCAGATGGATAAAATTTTCCTCGGAGTTCAAGTTTTTTCCTCCTGGTATTATTGTGTTGGTGATAAAGTTTATTAATTTAACAGGAGATGGAACGAGATGATCGCCGTAATGACCGTATGGATCATCGAGATCATCGCGACCATCGTGATCATCCAAGAGACCACCGAGATCATCGAGAAAACCGCGACCATTATCACCGTGATCATCGGGATCAGCGCGAACATCGTGACCACCGTGACCACCACCGAGGTGGGATGGGTGGAGGGCGCGGGCGAGGTGGACATCACCATCCTCACCACCGTGGTGCACGCAACTAACTATAGACTGAGCCACAGTGTATGTTAACTCCCTGTTGAGATGATTACCGAGGGACATGATTCTGTGACATACAAAAAAAAACTTTATAGAGAACAAATCTAGTTTACAATTGTAGACTTGGCCTGGTGGATAATGTATTTCAAAAAATTAATAAATATCTTATGGACCATTGGCTCTTTTATGATTATGAAATGAAATAAAAACATTGCTGGACAATCTGACCAGAAAGTTTTGTAGTCAAGAGACTCCAAGCTGACAAGTGTTTTTAAAGCAGTGAAGGGACTGATTTTCTCGATTCTGGAACTAGGTGACTGCATGTGGTTAATTGATTTATGGAGGCTCACTAGTGCCCTCTTCGAGCCTCTGAGTGTCTGCCGACTTAAAACCTAGTGATGAGGAAACTAATCACTAGGAAATGGAAAATGCTGCACTGCACGATACACGATATCATAATATGTCCAGCCAGGAATATTACTCCGTAATTGTGAGAAGTGTAGCAGTGCACTGAAACACTGTTTTCGTCCACTGTTCAAGTTTAGACAGGCACCCATTAGCACCAAACTACACCAGCCTGTTTGTCAGCTTAAGTGATATCACAGAGTAAAATAACTGTCACGAATGATTTGTCATTGTTTCCTGAAGAACACTTGGCATCGAGAACTACAAAGAATATGCCACTGTCATTGTTATCCTTTTGTTTCTTTCACTGTTGTGGTTAGGGGAATGGAACACAGTATATATATTTAATCTAATCCTCCTATAATCGTACAACTGCGGCTTGTATCAGAGAGCCAGATGACTGACAGAACCCACACGGGGGACCTGAGAGCTACCAAGCAAAAATGAGTCGGGCCCACCAGCCGCCTCACTTTTTAATACTAACAAACAACAACAATTTTTGCCTGTGATTGGATCCTTGGGTATAGCATGGGAATTGAGAATTTTAGTTCTTTTTGTCATTTTATTGAGAAGTTGGAAAGTGAAAAGTGAAATTAACCAGTGTGATCATATTTGTAAGCAATGGGTTCAGAAAATGCATCAGCAAAGACAGGCAGTGGAAACTAGTGAAGATTTATATCATCGGCTTGGGGCTGTGTAGAAATGATGAACAAGAAAAACATGGAATGTACTTCAGTGTTTATTTCTTAGTGCCTGAGAGTATGGTATTGTGTAGTTTAAAGTGATATTGTAAATGATCTTGAACATAAAAGACTTGAACCACCTCAGACTCAACTTGGTTTGTCTCAGCAGTGCCTCATTTAACTGAAATAACTGTAGTTGTTAGTGTTACCATTTACTGACATCATCTAATAATTGATATAAATAAAAAACTTATGGTTCAGTGGAATCACTTTTTCAAAAATACTACCACTTCAAAACCCTATCAAAAAAAGACAAAAGATAGCCTATAAATTATGAAATGCAACTCTAGTGACCATGGTATGGATGTGCTATCCATAAGTGATGACATAGAAAATGAACTGTTGACAGGCCAATGAAATCAATGTGGAAAAAACTGGGAGTGAAGTTCAAAGCTGGCATTTGCTTGGTGCTGTTGTGAAGGTCACTTGTGCTTGTTGGAATGCTGCCATTTATCAAGACCACCTACCGTTGTGTCCTGCTACCCTGACCCTTGTTGTGCCCTCGCCACAGAAGCTGCATGGGCTACTTCAGCAACAGTCTAGCTCTGATAGGCTGCCTCTTGTTTGTCAGGGATGTGTCAGGGATTTAGCTTTAGAGGGAACAGCTTACAGAGCAAATGAACCAGCATTATCATTTTCTGTACCTTGGGGCATGTGCAGTTTGTGCGGTTTGGGCATAAGTGGCTATTACTGCTCTTTTTATTTTTTATTTCCTTTTTTCTTTAATGTTTTGCAAGTTAAAATTTACAGCTCATCAGGCTACACATTTTTATTTGTTTAAAAAAAATGGCAGGATATTTAGACTTGTGATCACATCCAGTAAAATTTTAAGTGTGGATTGAGTGCCTGGAGGAAGTCTAAATGATCTTAATCCTTTTAATCATACTTTTATGCACAGGTGTTTGTTGGACTTTGCCTTAGACTTCCTTAGTTTTTTTTTTCTTGGAAATGGAATATTTGTATTGCACTTGATTTGCAAGTGTGTGTAATTGAGGTTTCTGATCTATAAATTGTCTTGGAAGTCAGTTGTGCCAGTCAGTTTTTTGAGAAGAATGCATTGTTTAGCAGGTGGTCAGCTACTATCATTTGGGGAACTTGACCAAGCTACTGAGTATTTTCTTACCCTCTATGAATGTGTGCATTATATTCTCCAGATTCCAAAGAGAAGAAGTGTATGTATTAAAATATATGTGGCATGGGATTGGTCTTGTGATGGTGGTAGTCGGCCACTGCCAGTGTGTGGTGTTCTCCCATTCTCTATCCCTATAACCAGTAGCTTAGTTGTGGGTGCCAGTGCGTGGGTTTCAGTGGTATTTTATATATTACCATCATGTTTCTTGTATTGAATACTGAGTATTGCTCTGTAACCTATGTATATTTTTTCTCGTACACAGATGTTAAGTTGACTAGATATCCATATTATAGTTTATGTATCGGCTTTATAGCTTCATTTATAACACGTCTGCATTAGTAACTGCCTATAATTTTAGAAGTGGCACTGTCTGCTCTGCCCCTCAACAGTATTTGAAAGTGTGTTAAGTGGTATTTGTTAAAATGTCATGGATATGAATTCACGTGATTGACAATTGTTAAGAGACCCGATCAGACGAGAATTGGAAATGAGATTTTGGTGGAATAATGGTGTTAAGGAAGCAAATAATTATATGCATGATTGTTACACTCAATAAGAGTTGTGTGTATGTGTATATGATGATTGTTATTACTTCATATTGATTATTTATATAAATAGTTACAAGTTCCATACCTGGTAATGGACAAAGGAATGTAAACCAGCATTGGTGACCTCAGATAATATAATGTTTATTTACCTGTAATTTTACATCAATGACAAAATCTTGTGTTACACATTCCCCACAATGCTCAACGTAGAATTATGGCCTTCACCTCCATAAGGGGAATAATCATGTCAGAAACTATGATTTTTGTTTGGAAACTTCTCTGTAGACACATTCATTATGCATCCCATAGCTGTAAAGAGTATAAGCAATAGATCCATACAGTCTGATTAAATGATAGAATCTTGCAGTAGTCCATATACTTTAAGTTGAAGGTCATAAGCATATTAGTAATTATAACAATGGGTAGTGCCTAGAAATGTAAAAAATAATGGACCAATGCCTGGACTGAAAGCCACCTATTGGATTATTGTACAATATTGAATGGCTCAATTGTTGACTTATAGTTTCTGGCCTTAAAGAAATGTTCCTATGAACCAGATCATTGCCACTAATTGCAACAAGAATGAACACATTTATCTTTATAATTGTATAGGTATTAAATATTATATGATCCTCTAAAAAGTGACATAGGTTGTCACTTTATAGGTTTCACCTTTTGTGATTGATGGCAATGGTTATACACGGTGGGTAATCATATGAACAAAAATTTCATAGTTATTTGGTATCAATCCGTGAAATGTCTTTTTCCCTACACTCTTGTTTTGTAGCAGTACAATGTTTGAAGAAGAATGATGTAATATTGAGAATTTGGGTACAACATTGAATGGAATTTCAGTGAGAAGACCCATGAAATTTAGTTGAAGACCTCAGGTATATAAGTATCATATGGAAAATATCTTAGAAGTAGAATTATATTTGGAGATCATACATACAAGTGAAATGCAGTGAGATTGATGTTGAATATTAAATAGTGTAATAAATTCAGAAAAAGGAAATGGTTACTGTTTTATAAGAATGATGGAAGAGTGCCAGAAGCTTTGGAAATTTTTTAGCTAATGTGACATGAAATGATATGTATGTATAAGGTTGATAGTTGATGCGTAGAACATTGTGGGGGGCAGAGCGGTGCGGTTATGTGGTCTTGGCAGGTCCCACCTGTGGGAATAAAATGTTCATCAATAAAACAAAATGTACACAGGAACTTTCGAGTCTCCTTGGTGCCTTCCTGGACAGTGCCTCATATTACCTCGGGTGATGGTTGACATTCACCTGCCAGCTTCATAGTTGTAACAAGGATCAAGTAGATTGTTTTTGAAAGAGAGTGACTTACTGTTTGAAGAATATAACATAATGATAATATGTTTATGAAAGAGAGTGACATTACTGTTTAAAGAATATAACATAATAATGAGAGATCAAATAGCATTCACAGGCATTTTGAAATTTTTTTGTTTACCAGAATTATAGAAAGTAGGAGCAAAATGAACATGTGGTGCTGTATTTTTTTAGTTCTTCTGTATATAAGATGTTTCAGACGTTTGGGAGTGGATGTGTCAGCAAGTGATCAATTTAATCACAGAGTAACAGAGGGAATGAAAAGGTAAAGGATATGCTGAGAAAGTTTACCTTGGGAGAGAGGGTTATGTCAAAGGAGGCTAAGATTAGGATTTACCTGTATGGGGAAATCATTGAAAAGCAAAAATGTAGTTATTTGGTTGTGAAGCTAAAGATATGGTGTGTTTGAAAGCAACAAGTGAGGTGAATAGTTTGCAGAGAATAAATTATACAGAAGCTAGGAAATATGGAAATGACAGAAGTGTAGGACAAAAAGCTGACCAGGATCAGCCAAGGCTATATGGTTATTGTGAGAGAATGGAAGGAAAGACTAGTAAAAGAAAGTGTAACTCGGAAATGGATGGTAAGGGGAGAGGGGAAGGCCAAGTAGGGGGTGGAAGGATAAGGGGAAGAACATGCTATATGCCAGTGGGAGGTAGTAGCAGAGTATGTGAATGAATTTTAGGGAAGGATGTGATACTGATGAATGGTGCTAGGTTGTGTGATGAAGTGATGGCTGTGTTGAGAAAGGAGTTCCATAGCAGAATGCATTCCCAGTAAAATTGGTGTGGCTTTGTGAGGTTTGTTGCTAAGTGAGTTCTTTCTGAGGAGCCTAATTTTGTCCTCACTACTGAGTGAAACCTAAGTAAAAGGATTAATTTCTGTAAATTATTTCTAGTGCTGATTTGGACTTTTCTCACTTGTAAACATGAATTTCAAATTTGATTGAATTTATTTGTCTAATTGTATAAATAAAAGAAAATAGATAAATATTGTACTGTGCTCACCAGAATTTATAGATCTGTAGGGGATTCTAGGTGGACGAGGCAGCAAGCAGCACTCTTTATTGCATGATCAGAGCTGCTTCTCCATGTGAAAAGCTAGTGAGAGTGTCTGAGCTTTTGACCATTACACCTAGCTCAGTGAATACACACACCACTGTAATACAGTTATTGTACAGTACAGTGTGTACCGCAGCTATGAACTACATTATTGTCACAGAACTTTCACAACAGTACAGTAGTCATACTATGTAACCACAACAGTCACAATGTAGCTGTTTCATCACAGCACAAGTAACAGTTATGTAATACAGGTAATTGTTTGCAGTATGCCATTAATACAGTCACATGTGCACAATAACATCCTCAGTACCTAATACAGCATTATACTGCAATAAAATATTCTTTGACACACTTACTATGATAATAGGAGACCACGTGTTGCTTTAATGCAAACTGTGTACACTAAATTTGATGAGCTGGGGTATTGTTTGGAACATTACCCATGCAAAGCCACAACTTAGCAGCAAAACTTCACATAACCACTACACTTATTTTCTTCCTTTCTCAAAGCCACAGCCTGAATAAATGCATCTTATAGAGACTGCAGGTTTAGTTTTTATTGCATTATAACCGTAACTCTTAATGAATGGCATTATGATGAGCTCCCGACCATAACCTGCTAAGAGCCATTTATTGCTGAAATGCCTTGTGTGTTGCATTGTATTCCCAAATTTCTTCTATGTCCCCTGGGTAAATCAGAGAGCCAATTGGGAACATGTCCATGTGAGAATTTTCTTCCATTTTCAATTTTGGCACTTAACATATTATGGTCTGGAGATCCTCATATATGAAGAGAGAAAGTTTATGTGTGAATTTGTTGTTGATCCTTGCTGCCTTGTATTAGTTTCGAATGAAAGAGAAGGATAAAATCTAATTTTTGAGATTGAAACAAAGAAAATATTTCGAGTACATGCAGGTTTTGAGTTTTAGCAGTCACTCTTTATTTATTGTTGCCTACACTAATACTGATACATGACATGACATACTGTAAATACAGTGTGAATTTGTGCCTCACTGGCTTTTATGATTTAATCTTGTAATGTGGCAAATATAGTATATGTATGGTTGTAGTGACAGTTCATATTACTTGTGAGTGTCTTTGAAACAAAAGTTTTGACCTAGCATAGGCCAAGAAACCCACGTTGTTTTAGATAAAATGTCACAATTTTGCGACCACCGATTTGTAAAGGTTGTCCTGAGGAAATACAATTGTCTAGGCCCATGAGAATTAATGTAAAGGGGTGGCATTTACAGTTAACCCATGACTAACATGAGTTATAGAATTAGCCAATGAGAGACTTGGACAAATTCAACCCTGCCAAGAAAAGTCCCGAGTTACCCAGATATATAAACTGCTGTCAGGAGGACAGAAAAATATTTTGAGCTTTGATTGATAGCCAGAAACTTGTTTGGGGGTTACAGTATTATCAAATCATCAGTAATTATAAAATAATGTAACATCTATTTGTAAGTTTGCTTGTTTTTTTACTTTAAATAAATTTTCTATAGTATTCCTATGTACTTATTTATTCTCTTGTTGCTATTATTCTCTCGATTTTGTATTCTTTCTCAACACTACTGTACAGTATTCTCATTTCTTCCACGAGTCATTATTTTTTAAAAGTTATAGTCTCTTTGCTTCGTATTTATTCATTGTTCTTGTCTTGGCACTTGATACTGTTACAAACGAGTTCCATTCCCAGGGAAGTTTTTGGTCGTAAATGTACATAAATCGAAACACATGCTATGTGCGTACTGTATTTATAGAACAATGTTGAAAATCCCACAACAGTATATCATAGCCTAAGTCCATGTACTGTATATCATACACCTAAAATTACTTAATTTAAGAGAAAAGGAGAAATAGAAAGACAAAATACGGTAAATGAGAGTAAAAAATAAGTCATCGGGTAAATAAGATACTGTAAATTTCAAGTTTAACTTCGTTTGTATAGGCAGGTGTTCGTAAATCAGACGTTTGTAACCCGGGGACTGCCTGTACTGTATACATCCCACTTTATTTCTGTGAAGTTACCGGGGTACTTTACTGTTCATTACATATTTTCTAAGACATCACATACTTTCGTGCATAATGGTGAAGTATTGAGGGAGGACAGACAGTGAGGTAGTGTTGAAGTGTGGGGGAAATTGTTGGAGGTCAGGGCCATGTGGCTTGGCTGTGGTCAGCATTTACTGAGTGGGGACAAGTTGGGGGTGGAAAGTTGGGCAGGTAGAAAGGAGGGGGAATATGGGAAGGGGAGAGGATGTAGGTTGTAGACATGTTAATTTATACAAGGTTAGAATGAGGAATAGACTCCGTTACTGAACATAGTAACTCTGAACACTAGGGGCACTTCAACACAATATATTATGGGTATATGGGAGAATTACACACACACACATTGGACTGGAGGGGCACATACAAGACTTATTATTATGGAATACTCCAGGACACTTGATACAAATACTACAAAACCTCACATGCATTGCTGGGTCTGTCTCCAACAAAGGGAACGGGAGATGGGTTGGGGTTGTAGGCTAAGTGGCTAGGTCTTTTGGCTCTCAGATCAAAGCTGTGAATCTCTCTATGTCCTGCAGTTTATGTACTCTATCTGGCTAGCTTGGGACATTTCTGGGTGGGTTAAGTTTATCTAAGTTTCTCATACTACATTTCATTGGCTAATTCTTTAACTCCAGACTGTTGTAGTATTGGTTAACTGTAAACTCCACCCCTCTACATATATTCTTATGGCCCTGGACAATTGTGAGGCCTGTATAACAATATTGTACTATATTTCCTCAGAACAACCTTTACAAGTAGCTGGTTGTCAAACTGGCATTTTAATTTAAGTAACATTGGGTTCTTGTCCTAGGCTTGGTTATAAATTTTGTTTCAAAGACACTCACATGTAATATAAACTGTCCCTACATCCATACATACAGACAGCCACATTACATTCTTAATCAATAATGAATTTTTTTATTCTTGTAAGCTGTTAATACTGTATTTGAAATTCAGATGAATTGATACATAATGAGGACTTCAGCTCTTTGTGTATGCATATTATTACTGGTAATTGCATTGTTTCAGTCATGACAGGTTTTAAAATAGACATCAATATGAGGCTGTCACCTTCATAAATATCTGAATCGCTGACAGTGGTGCAGTATAAATATTTTGACAAAAACTGTGTTTTAAATGGATATAACTGGATTGGAAATCACTACTCTAGATACTTGAATAAAAAAAAATGCTACTTGAGGAGTAGGTAAGTGCATGGTCTTGTGCTCTTTGTAATGTTTTCTTATAAATGATCATTGAAGAAGAGGAGGACAGTTCACAATCTTGTGTTTATGTTGGGAATTTTATTCATATAACAGTTATAAATACAGTAATAATATAACTTCTTTTTTTGTGGGGGGAGATATACAGGAAATTTACACTTTTAAGGAGTGAATCAGCAATGCAATAATATAGTAGGCAGTGTTCATGTTTTTGTTTTACAACTGTTGTACTTTATTTGGTAGAGATCAGCTTCCTGGATCCTTTTCTCTCATGGTCATCATATATATTTTAATGGTATCTTTATTGCATCCCTTTTTTCCTGTTCATTTATCTCTTTATTATCCATAAATATAAAAGCATCATGACCCTACAGGTTCCTACAGGTATTATTTTGCCCATACTGTCTTGGTAATAATAAGAACTGTGACATTCCTTTTGATATCATTCTTTCTTTTTATAAGCATCCACTAATGCCAGTGTGTGTTGTGATGACACGGAGTGAAGCTAGTTTAAGAC